ATTTGGATATTTTGCACTGTGATATCTTCTGTTCTATCATTTTTACCATTATCAAGTAATGTCTTCATTTAATTGCAATCAAACTCAAATCACCTCTGTGACCTTGGAGCATCACAAAAAACTAGCAAAAATTTTCTTTTATTCAGTCTTCTTTTATGTGCTATGTCTTGGCTCACCAGTCTCTTTTAGCTTTTGACCTTTTATCAGCCCTCTTTGTTCTGCTATCAATTCACACAAACTCATTAAATAGGTTACATGCTATTTCCTCTTGCTTCTCTTCATTTCTATTACTTGCTCTGATAGCATTGTGATCATAAAGATACCATTTCTGGTTCCTATGTCTTGAAAATCTTGAAAAAAGTGAGATAGTTTATACCTTACTTCCAGCTCAATTCTTCTTGCCTGCTATCTTGTATCACGTGTTTTTAATCTCTGTACACATCTTACCGAGTCATTTATCTTTTTCTTTTTGCATTTATTTTTAATGTTTTAAGAGTGGTTTTCCATTGCCCTTTCTATAGTGACTATCAAGGCAGAATCATTAGTTAACTGGTGGTTGACAGCGTTCATCCACCCTTTGGTAGGTGTCTTTGTTTGCATTGAAACAGGGTAGAGAAATTTGTTTAGTTGCTGATAATCCAATAAATAGAGCACAATTTCTTATTTCCTGCATCCCAATGCCACAACTGTTACAGACATTCCTCTATATGAGGCAGGAAATATATAGATTGGTCCATAGATTAGTTAAAGAGAAGATTAGTGTTGATGAGTGGTAAGGTCTGCTCTTAAGTGTAAAAGTACAGTTATCAGTAATCTGAGAATTTGTTTAGAATTTACAAAACAATTATATACTGTGTGTGTTTGTGCGTATATATATATATATATATATATATATATATATATATATATATATATATACAGGGTGTATCGAATACTTTTACAAAAGTTTGTAAAAATATTTGATACACAAAAAAAAACAATGACAAAAGTCCATATAAACATATGTCCACAAATCCTTCACTTTCAGTTATTAAGTTTATGGTAGATGACACTGTGTTGCCATGTAGACTAGGTTACATTTGTCATTTGTGTACATTTGTGTCTAGTCTGTCTTCGAAATTTAATGTTTGTAGGAGTGAGTTAACTGAGAAGTGTTCCATTTAACAATGGCAGGATATTCATATTTTGAGCAGGCAGATGATTTTTACATATGATTGTGAGGCTGCACAGATGTATCAGATTGTGTTACCAGACCGAAGTCAGCCAAGTCATCCAATCCCTGCTGCTGTTCATTGTTGTGTTGCTGAGTCAAGATCCGTGGCACCACAAACTACAGATTGAAGAAAACCGAGATCCATCCATATGCCCGACCACAAAGAACACATTCTACAGGCTGTTGGAGACAATCCAGATATCAGCACAATCAAGTAGCCCTAGCATAGTATCACATGGAGAGTACTTCAAGAGCATCTCCTGTATCTTTATAATTTGCAATGTGTGAGGATTTATTGTATAAACTGCTGATCCATTGTTTGTCTCTTCAGTCTTGTTTACGGATGAGACAACATTTGGAAGAGATGGAATGACAAAATCTACACAACCAACATTTGTGGGTGGATCGGAATGCCCATGGTACAATATAGGCTAGACACCAGCATCAGTTTACGATTAATGTGTAGGCTGGAATAGTAGGTGACAGTCTGGTAGGTCTACATGTTCTCCCAGCTTGTTTTACAGGAGCTGTCTACAGGGACTTTATTTTGAACACACTTCCAGACCTGCTAGAGGATGTACCCCTGCTAATACGAAGACACATGTGGTTCATGTATGATGAGCCTCTAGAGCATTTTAGTCACATTGTTAGTTGGTTTCATGGCCTGCACATTCCCAGCGACCTCAATCCTTTGCATTTTTATCTGTGGGGCCACCTAAAATAGTTGGTTTATGCAGCAGACATTAATAATGCAGAAAAGTTTTATCAACATGTCATGGGGATCAGCAAAACCATTCAACACTGTGTGGGAGTATCTGAAAGGGCTCACCAATCCAACAGGTGCATTACTTTTGACCTTCCCCCATTAAATTCTATTGAAGAAAATTGTTGTGTTGGCATTGCATTCTTACAATTCTTAGAATAAAATAAGCATAATGTGTTGAAAATGTTAATTTTTTGTGTTATCTTTAATGCTAGAACTAATAAACAAAAAATATTTATTTTTGCAGTATCTTTTTAATGCATGTTGATAGCTGTCAGAATACAATCAAAAACAGTTTTTGAATGACATCATCTTTAATTAAATACTTAAAAAAAATTTTTTTTTTTTTTAGTTTACTCAATAATTTTGATCAACAGTCACTGGACATCTCTATAGAAAAAAATCATCAGGTGCAAAATTGTATCATTACCCCCACACACATAACAAGTGAAGCCTTTTTTTAAAAAGATAACAAATAAACATTGAAGCATGAAAGAATTATTAATATTATTATTATTATACACATTACAGGAATACTGAAGATAATGAGTTAGCCCCTGAATCTTTGTTCAAATGATTTATTTTTATACCGTTGAAGAGTAACTCCAGTAGACATTCTAAGGCAATAATCAAGTCTATGTTTAACAAAGACAAACACAATTTCTGCTGGACTATGAATGTTTTTTTGCCCCTAAAGAACTTTGTGTTAAATGTTTTGTTTTCTTAACACAGTTATTGACTAAAGGCTAAAGCTACCCCTTGATCATAAAAAGTAAAATAAATCAATAGTAAGAGACATTGCTTCAAAGTGATGAGATCTTTTCCTGTATACAGGCCCATTTTTATCCCTCACCTTGTTGTCCATTTACACTTCTTTCATTTCTTACTACACTTGTTAGCTCTTTCTCTTCACCAAAAGTGCTTTTACAATAGAAAGAAGGCTGAGGGCGGGATGTACAAGTCATGCTATTAGTATTTTAAAACATGGATTGGCAGATGTTGGTTCTCAAAATGCTGTGTCTGTGGTCATAAATATTTCAATTATCAAACATAAGAATACTGATTTTGTGAATTGTATTGAACTAAAATCTTTTTGCTGAGTCACTCTTGATGTTGAATAAATAATTTGATGTTGGGTGGAAACTTGTAAAGGAAATTGCTGAAACTGTGTGTAATGTCCCAAGTACTTCTGCCCATTGCTGATCATTTTCAAAGAAAGAAAGTAAAAGTTGACTTAGCCAGTGAACCATTTAATGCTCTAGAGTTTGAAATGAAGGTGGATTCACATGCTATATCGTAAGGTATGGTATGGTTACTGAAAAGTCCTGCTAGCTACAATAATGACCATGGCTCTATTGTTTACAGCAACAAATCTAAGTTGCTAAACATAAATATATGATGAACTCAGACAAGTTTATACAAAGGCCTTTATTGATCATTAATTCTATACTTATCTATTTCTACTTGTTATCCATGTATTACAACCTGGCATAGGAAGATATATTGCTTTTCTTCTAATTTTATCTGGGAAAATATTCCATTCACCAAACATGTTCAATGTGTCTGTATTAATGTTCTAACAATCTATGCCAATCTCAAGGAACAATATTCTCTTTGAATTTGCTCTTATCTATGTTTTATATCAATTTATGAAAACTTTTTTTTATTAAATGTAGATCATTTGTATTTTTAAATATCTTGTCATTTGTCAACTTGTTAAAATTTCAAAGAGAAATTGTTTCATTGTGCTGATTATTCTACTACTCAAATCTTGCTTTATTTTCTCTTTGATTTTATTACTGCTTTAACACATATAGGGGGTCTAGTGGGCATAGAGTTTGTAATTAAAAAAGTGCATTAGATTTTAATGTGACTTGGATGCATGACTCAACAGTCTGTAAGGAATCAAACATGCTTTCTGTTCAGAGATTTTCTTGTTTGTTTTTGTTCTGAACATGAATTAATCAAAGCAAGGGTCTAGGCATCTAGATTAGGTCAATGACAAAACAAATGAACAACATAAAATCACAACCCTTGATAGAAAGTTTCAAGTTAGAAATGTTAAGTACTTAAGAGTATTGTAATGAATGTCAAGTTGACACATTCTTGGATCACAACATTTATTTTTGTATTTTCTTCAACAAGAAAACATCAATTCACAAAATTGTTTTACTTTTGATAAAAATTGGGAGGAGAAGATTGCCAGGATTATGGCAATAGAAAAGAAGAGTTTCTTAAAGTAAAAATATGGTGTGCCATTCTGTAACTGAAAAATCACATAAGTGTATTCTATTTGTAATAATATCTTGTGATAAAATCCAACTTGAAAAATGTTACTGAAATACAACTAAGCATTAATAGTCAAGTGATTTTCAAGATGTTCACAGACAACATAAATTGGCCAGTAGCTAGATTAATAAACAAGAGATTTATTGATTATCAAAAATGATTTAAACACAGATGTAATAGCAAAAGAAGAATAAATGTAAACCTATCACCTCAAAACAACTGGATCATTTTTTTTAAAGTAATTTATAATATGCTTCTTTGAAGTCATCAAATTTAAAGTAGCAGTAATTAATTTTTTATGGTTCAACACAAAGATAAACTGTTTTTACATTAATTATCACAAACCAACTCTAAACTTAGATGATACATAGAATATTTGTGAATATTTATTTTCTGTTCAGTAAAAGGGTTTCTTTAAAATATGGCAGCAGTTATAAAGCTAATACATTTGATTAAGGGAGCCCATGCCCCATCTCTCTCTCACGCACACACTGACACAGTCCATTTAAATTTCAGTTGTATAAGACTTTACAAGGGAAAAAACAAACAACCTAAAACAATCCTGTTTTGTCAAGTGATGTTAAAAATATTCCTCTTTAATTATTGAGTTTATACTAATATTTTCATATTAATTTCAGTTGTAAATGAGAATTTTTTAATCATTTTAAGTAACAAGAGCCACAGAACTTATTGAAAAAAAAGACAAAACCAAATCATTTATCCTGATTTGAAACATTAGTCAAATTTGATAGAAACAATTGCAATAGTCTGAAAATAAAAACAAATATTAAAGTTATCAACTGAAAAACATCAACACTTGAATATTTCTTGTAAAATACTTTGTTTTAATATTTAAAAAATGGCATCTAACCTTTTTCTTGCTGTCACCTTGAAAGGCTTCTTCAACAAACATTGCCCCCAAAGCAAACCCTAGCACTCTGTTTGTGTCCATCACACAATATCGCCAGGATTCTTCACTACCAACTGTACCTAAAAAAAAAAAAAAAACCTCAACAATTTAAATACAAAATTCTCAAATAGTCCCAAAGAATAAACTTAATTATTTTCAAGAGCTTAGTATTTATTGTGGTTGTTAAACACATCCTTCCTTCTTGATTGTCATTCATCTTTTTGGAATGATAATGCATACAGAATATGAATAATGGAATGACTTACAAATCATTCTTCAGATGACTTCAAAAATTTATTATAAATCCAACCATATGGTTTTGTATTTTTAGTATTTCAGAGAAAATGCCAATCTTTTGTCTAGAAATTGGTATTTTTACACAAGTTGAACACTATAACTATCTTCTATTGGTTTGCTATTGTTAATTTGTCAAGTGATTCAAATCTTATGCAAAAGATGGCAATGCTAAGGTCTAAATGTGATGCTTAGAGACAACAGTCTATCCGAGAAGCCATAACAATATTCATTATTTTTTGTAGACATATATAGATTTACTAATTGCCCTAAGGACAAGATCAGAATCATGACAAAAAAAAAAAGACACAATATATCATTAGAATCAAAATACATTCAAATTTTAAAGAATAATTAAATGAAACCTACCATACTTTAGTTATATAAATTTTTTCATATATTTTCTCATTAATCTCTCAATAGGCTTTAATGTTGCACATAATGCTTTTTCAAAAACCTATAAGTTAATCTATTGATTGTATTAAGAAATAAGTAAAATATAATGTGAAAATGCAGGGAATGTTCAGTGTCCTACCTAAAAGACTTTTAGCAAGGATATTCCTTGCATCCCGGAAAGGTTTTGAGAGGAAATTTGAGAAGCTGCGAACCACAGGCCAAATCATATAATTATTAAGGATTCTGCAAAAAGAGAGACAATAAAACAGTGTAACATTGAGAATTATTGAAAATTGTTTCTATTTTTAAAAAACAAAAGCTCAAAGAAAAAAGAAGGCAAGATAAAAAGACTGAATCTCTATACCTTCTGCCATTTGTATCATTCAACATACTGTGAACAAGTCCAGTAAGTTTCTCCAAATATTCTGGGGCATAAACAACCACTTCTTCTGAACTGTCAATTGTTATATTCACAACTGTAAGTCGATCATTGAAATACTGAACCCAGTTAATCTAAAAAAAGAAAAAGTAAAAAAGAATATTCAATAAAACTTTTTTCCTATTAAATAAATAAAAAAAAAACATCATTTTTTTATTTGGACATTTTCAGAATATTGGATTGATTGGCTTCCCACCTGACAGTTAATAGAATTACCCACATCAGATTTCAGCATACATACTCTGAAAATTTTTAAAAAGACATAATAAAAATAGCAGTCTGGCTGAACCATTTGTAGTACAACATATATCTTATCCTGAGTCTAGTTTTCTTGCTATATACTTTTTATCTAGTAATTTTAGTAATTGTTACAATAACTTTTTGGCAATAGTATGTTAGAGATTGTCTGGTCTAGATTAGATAAAAAAAAAATGAACACTTCATGTTATACAACAAGGCAAGGTGTCAACAGCTATGTGATTGTTAGAAAAATTAGCCTGAAAGACATCCTGACCAAACTGCAGAAACTGAAATGATACAACTTATTGTATACTTGCTTGGTTAATATATTCAACAAGCAGATTTTACTTCCTTTTCTTCAGAAGAGATCTCTAAGATCTGAAACAGATCTAGCCTGATCTATCTGTGTCTCTCTCTCCCATATATACCAAGTGAAACAGCAAAATTGTCCAAATCATGTAACAGAATAATTGTCCATCCCAAAAAATGTTTAATATCTAAAAAATACAAAAAAAAAACCATTAAACAAACTGAGTTTCTTCTTTCCAGGTTTGCAGATAATATGCTTAGCCATCTCGACACCCTTCATTGTAAGAATCACTAAAAAAAAAACCCTTTGAGTTATTCAGCTAGAAAGAGAACAGGATAAAATTGTTTTGTGTCAGACACACTGTCTTCCTAACTGAGCAATGGTGAGAGGAAAAAGATCATTCAGGCTTTCAATAGTACCAACATTCATACTCTGGCTTCCATCATTCAAGAACCATCAACAGTGAATAAATTTAAAAAAGAGGGAACAGAAGAGAGGAAAACTGGATCAGGAAGTCACAACAACAAGAGGGATCATCATTTCAACTGGAGACTAAAGAGATCGATTACAAAAGATCCAACTCAACCCAAATGAAGTTTGGCACATCACCTATAACAGTAAAAAAAAGACATGGAAATTAATTTGTACATAAAACATGTGAGGCACCTTGTTACTCCAGGACAGAAAGTTAAAAGGTTAGAGACAGTGAAGATCATCTTGAAAAATGATCCTAGAATAATATATATATATATATGAGAGAGAGAGAGAGAGAGAGATTTGAACTTTATTTCAATCCTTCATGAGCTTCTAATCCTTAGCTATGATTAATTAATGATGAACATGTCATTTTCATTTATGATCAAGTTCATCACAATTCTTCTGTTAAGCTTGGAGAGTAATTATACATTCTTATTGCTCAGAGTTCAATAGTGTTATAAAAACCTTAGAGAATTCCAGTAAGATATCTTTAATCATTTCTAAGATACAACAGTCCAAAGCTTAATCTAACAAATGGACAATTTTGCTGTTATACTTATATATATATATATATATATATATATATATATATATATACACACACACACACACACACATACACATACACAGAGTGGTGGGGAATATTTGTACACCATACCATGAATTTTTTTATTTAATATAGTTAGATTTGATAAAAGAATTTTATAATCAATACAATATTTGTATACCATGCCATAATGCTGCAATATGCAAAAAAACAAAAAAATTCAGAAAAATTTGTTATATTAATGAAATTAAAAAATTTGGAGATGAGAAAAGTATTCATACAAAATTATAATACCTATTTAATAGTTTATAGCATATCCCTTACTCAATTCAACACCAATGAGTCTCTTTCTGTAGCTTTTAATCAATGATTTGCAAGCTTCCGTTAGTATATTTTATTACATATTGCATATTCTCTTTTGGTCCAGGATGTTTTTCAGAGCTCTTTTATTAATGTTAATTCTTAATAAATGCCACAAATTCTCTATTGGATTCAAGTCTGGAGACTGTGATGCATTCAAGTGTATTGACATTGTTTTCAATAATCATTTTTTTATAGATTCAGCCATACGTTTAGGGTCATTATCTTGTTGCAAAACCCATTCATTTGGGAGTCCAAGCTTTACTACTGACCCCAAAAAATTAGTCCAAAACATCTTATTATATTTTTTATTTCATTCTACCATCTATTATTTGTAAATTAACCATACCATTAACAGAAATATTCCCAAACCATGATATTACCACCACCAAATTTCACTGTCAGGATCGTGTTCTTCGGTGCAAAAGCAGTGCTGTCTTTTCACCAAACATGATTCTTTGAATTACACCCAAATAGTTCAATTTTTACTTCATCTGTCCATAAAACACTTTCCCAAAATGATTCAGGTTTATTCTTATGTTCACAAACAAATTTTAACCGGGCATTACTATGTTTCTTCAACAGTAGTGGAGTTTTTCTTGGAGAACGCAATCTTAGTTGACTTCTATAAAGCTCATTGCTTATTTTTCACTTTGTAACAATAATACCAGATACTTTTAATTCTTCTTGTATTTCTCTTTTTGTAGTCATTGGATTTTCTTGAATTTTGCATTGAATTCTTCTTATTGAACTGGGAGAAATCTTGCATGATACACCAGATGTTAATTTGTTCTCAATGGTTTTCACCTTTTAATACTTAGCAATAATAGTAAATGGTGTATTCAGGATATTTGATTCTGCCTTCTTTCCAATATTTGATGATCAATTCTTTTTGGGAATTTGATATTTCCTTACCTTTCCCCATGATGATAATTATTTTGTTTGATTTATGTGCAGAGATAACCTTATATAGGAAATGCATTGCAGAATGTTCTAGATTGTTCCGGTAATAAGATAATTGGAAGTATCTAGCAAAATCTAACAAAGAATTATGTAAATAAAGGTAATTTAAGCATTTTCATATTAAAAACATATTTTGTACAAATACTTTTTTTACCTCAAAATTTTATAAATAATACATAATTTCATTTATAACAAAGTTTTCAAATTATTTTTTGCTTCAGTATCTGTCTATATTTCTGAGATGAGGTATTATGTACACTATTTACATTATTCGGACTATTGTCCTCATCTTTGTCGCCTATTTATTACAATATTTCGGCGGTTGTACGCTCCTGCCTTCTTCAGGCAGTTGGAATGTTGAACTGAACCCTTAATTTCACTCACTGGAGTGCCAGAGAAAAGATTGTTCTAGTTCTACGTGCCATGTCTAATGGATGTCAGTTATCAGTTATCTCCTGCTTAATTCCCTCTCCAAGTTCTCCACCCCCTTAACTAGGTATTGAACTCACAATCTTTGGGTCCTGTCACTAGATCTAACTAACACCTTTATCCACTGTGCCAAGTGTCCTTGAGGACAGCTGTGTATGAATATAAACCTAATGTCTTCAGCATCCATTTTACATCCTCTATTGGGGGGGGGGTCTTAGAGGAGAACATGACTAAAGACTGTGTGCACGCTTTCCTGTGCAGCTGCGGAAAGAAATATAAAGGGGAGACAGGCTGACCCCTTAAGGTAAGGCTTCAAGAACACCAGAAAGTTAAAAGGATCAGATACCGCTTTTAACTTGATCGGTTGTTTGTCTTCAAAGTCTCCCTCTCCTTGAAGCAATTGATAGATATTGTAGGTGTTCTCTATTAAGTTGTTCCTGGAAAGCCATTGTGGTAAACAAAGCAGTTCAGCTTTCATAGGATCATCTGAAATGAGATTTCCCAAAGCAAAACAAGTTCTTCATCTCATTGTGTTGCCTTTGTGCAAGAAGAGGTTGTAATTAAATCAAAAGTGTGTAAATTTAGAATCTTAGAAGACTGGGTAAGTAAATGATCTGATCTGAAGCACTGGGATCAATTAGTGTTGAGAATGAAATAGCATTATTACAAGACTCTTGGCTTGTTTTCAATCAGATAAATAAAAGATGTATCCCTGTAAAATTCACACTTCAAATAAATATAGCATAATCTCTTTAATTACTTTCAAGAGCTGATGTGAATTGATAAATGGACACATAATTTTGTAAAAATTGCCATCAATTCATAATGGCTAAGGGCCAGATCACAAACCTCATTTTTCACAGGTTTAAGAATATCAGATCAACATAGAATCAAACTTGCAATAAAGAACATAATTTATAGTGGAGAGGTTTGGATTGTCTTAAAGATTGCACAAGAATTCATTTTAATTTGCAGGATTAGAGTAAAGATTCTTTAAACATATTACAATTCAAGAGATCAAATGTGGATCTTACATTTAAAGCTAAAAAAAAATACTGCTTCTATTATTTTTTTTTTCCATTCAGAACTGCTTGCAAAAAGTAACACTTTTAAAATGTTTTGATCTTGAAAAAGAAGTTACAAGTTTTACTGGGCACATCAACAATAATTTCGAGCAGAAAGATGACATGAGCTGAATAAGTTAGATTTTTAGGCCCAACATTCATGTCAAGTCACAAAATATATGTAAATGATTCTAGACACATACATCGGTATATGACTTGAATTTTTAGTGCCCCGAGTGTTTTTACAGCTGCAGATTAAAAAATTACACAAAAAACTGTTTGTGAATGTTTTATTATTATTATTTTTTTAATTTCCCACAATACAACAAGCAATATATATGTACTCTGATGTAAACATACATTGACCTTGTGCTACTACAGATTTAATTAATATTCAATGAGATTGCGTATTAACAATTCCTCATTTTATTAGAAAAACATTAGAGTAATAAGCACACAATTAGAAAAGGAAACCACTGTCTCCCTCTCTGGTCAACCTTGAGCCATGAGAAAGGGAGGGGTTCAGGTTATTAGACAGAAAAAAGTTGCTGATGTAAAGTAAGCAGTGCAGTAGAGTGAGTGCCCAGTTTAGCCATAAATTGGCAGTGTGTACTCTTTCATTCTCTTATGGTTGAATGTGATAGAATAATAAGTTCTACTGAAAATAGTGGGCAATTTGTATTTTGGTACACTGTTGTCTTTTTAAATGAGTCCTCATTTGTTTAATTTTCAATTTCAGAGGAGACAGATGATGCTGAAGCTTGCTTCACTAACAATTGCATTTTAACTGCCTGTAGCTAACTTTTTCAGTTACTAGAATTTTTTTGCAACACACTAACGTGTGTTGAAATGCTCACAGTATTTAGTATTGTTGAAATTATTGCTAACATTTTTTGTTGAGATTTACAAACTCTGTTTCAATCAATTTCGCAAACCAATTGATAAAATTTGAATAAGCTGATGTGTTCGAAAAAATACTTTGGTAAAAACCCTACTTTGCAGTTTTTATGCACTCTAGTAAAGCCAACTGTACTTTGTACCCCCTTACCTGTTCACACTTCTTCCAAAAATTTGGTTTTGATCAGTCAATGTATAGTTATTTCAGAGTGTGACAGACAGACTAATGGAAGTCACAGAATCTTATATATAGATAGATGGATGCAACAGAGAACAATTTGAAATAATGGTTGTTAAATTTGAATAACAATTCAGAAAATACCATTTTGCAAGAAGTTTTTCTTTTAAAATTCTTTGTCTAGTGATTTACTTTGAAAATAAATGTTCTTATTTTCATGATGTTTATATTGTTATACTAACAAGCAAAACATATTTTGTTATAGAAAAGAATATAGAATTAAAACTTACAAAAGGGGCAAGGTTTTGCAATTTTTCTACAGTCATTTTGTGATAAATTTTTTCTTCATCTTGACGTTCTTCACCAGGTGTTGTAATCTGTGGATAAACAGAATAATGTCTAAGTATTGAGAAGATTTCAATACATATATTACATAGAAGTTAATAAATAAAAATTGACTAAAACAATGAGGTATATACTGAATTTCTTTCAAAAGTATTTCTCTAAAGACTAACTCCACTTAGAATTTACCATGTTTAGATATTCAATTTCACTTGATTTCCATAATTTATCCATTCCTTTGATAATTTCTAGGTTGCTAGAATTTTGGAGACAATTTTTTTTCTTTTTCTAAAAAAAAAAAAAAAAAAAAAAAAAATGCCTTTATTTCTTTTGGCAGCTTTGATATTTTCTCTCATTTTTTCTCTTCTGTCATCTTCAAAAAAAATGTATACTTTACTTTATACCCTTTTTTATATTGATCTATTCAAAATTACCAAACTTTTATTGGTTGAAAACATCCCTGTTACAGTGGAACACATCTATTCTATAGTAAATAGACTCTCCCACCTATAATAAGTAGGAGTAGCAAGAGTAACGTGGGAGTCGCTCAGGGGATCGGTCAGTCAGTCGATGCCGGACGACCGTTAGTCGGATACTGAAGTATCAGCGACCACAACTAGATTACTGTGTCATACCTATTATATGAAGTTCCTAATGTTTTGTACATCGAACCTATTTTAGGACCGACTTAGTACAAATACAAGCCTCCATTGTGAAATCACTCCATAACAAATTTGGCGATGAGGATTTGAACTCATATGGAGGAAAAAAGAAAAAAAATTGTTCGCCACATAACAAATTTGGTGACTAGGAATTCGTACTCATACGGAGGAAAAAAAAAAAATCACCCTCCATAACAAATTTGGCTATGAGGGATTCGGATTCATGCGGTGGAAGAGGAAAAAAAAATTTTGTGCACCACAGTATAATTTGGCGAAGGGATTCGGATTCATACGGTGGAAGGAAAAAAAAAGTTTGTTTGACACAACATTATTGGTGACGAAATTCGTACTTTTACAGAGGAAAAAGAAAAAACTTGCTCGTCACAATTTCAGCAACAAAATCTCGGATTCACACTTAAAAAAAAAAATTGGCAAAGTTTTTCAAAAGACAAGACGTCAACTTAGTGACGAAAAAATCAGTCGTATTCTCAACTGAGAAAAGAATTTTTCTCTCAATAAGACAGTTTGCTCAAATAGGTCACGAAATGCAAATTCGTAGGACCCCCCCCCTCTACAGTATTTAGGCATTGTGTAAATTTTTGCGAAGATGGAGGAATGCAAAAATATATTCCAGGAATTTTTTAAGTTCCAGACGGAACAACAGATGACAATATTAGAGCAACAGAAGTCATTCCAGATGCAGTTACAGGAGGAAACTTTTAATAGACAAATACAGTTTCAACAAGAAATGGAACAGATGCATAGGGAGTTTCAAAACAAAATTCTGGAAATAACTGAGAAGAGGAAAGAGAAAAATCTACAAAATGATTCTTTCCCAGAGAATACAATATGGAATTCAATTGAAATATTCACGTACAGTCCAGATGAAGAGATAACTTTTGAAGAGTATTATAAAAAATATCCGGACATGTATAATGAGGACTGTCACTCGTGCTCTGAAAGAAAGAAGGTTAGACTTCTTTTAAGCAAATTAGGAACTGCTGAGCATAACAAATTGGTAAACTACATTTTACCAAAAAAAAACTAGCGAGTTGACATTTACCGAGGCGGTAAATATATTAAGTGAATTATTTAGTAAAAAGACATCTTTGTTTCACAAGAGGTGGAAATGTTTGAATCTGATGAAAGATGACGAACAAGACTATATAACATACGCAGCCAATGTGAACAAGCATTGTGAAGAATTCAAGCTGGCAGAGTTAAGCACTGACAATTTTAAGTGCTTAGTGTTTGTTCAGGGGCTGGTATCCGAAAGAGACGCTGAGTTGAGAAAACTAGTGCTGTCAAAATTGGAAAACGAACCAAGGATTACGATACAGAGGTTGGCAGAAGACTGCACAAGATATGTTAGCGTAAAGAAAGATTCAAAAAAGATAGAACAGTCTGGCGTTTTGCATGTAAGGAAAATACACTACAAAAAAGAAAGTCAGTCTACCAAAAAGAATTCTAAAATTGCAGATTATCAAACAAAAAGTGAAATACCAGAGAAAAATAAACAAAAACTCCCAAAGCCATGTTTTGCTTGCGGTGAACTTCACTGGTACAGATATTACAATTTTAGGAATATAAAAATGTTTCAACTGTAAAAGAGTGGGTCATAAAAGCTCGCACTGCAGGTCAAAAAATAAAGACTTTAAAATAAGAAAATTAAAGTCCGACGAGGTGAACGATGAAATAACCAGAAAATTTGTTACCGTCAAAATAAGTAATAAAAAAATAAAAATGCAACTCAACACTGGTTCCAACCTATCTATCATAAATTTGCATACGTGGAAGAAGTTGGGGAAACCAACTTTAATGAAGACAAATAAAATTGTGAGGTCAGTGACAGGAGAAAAAATACAATTTATTGGAGAATTTGTTACAAACGTCATGTTAAATAAAAAAAACACGAAAAGCTAAACTATTTGTCATAGAAAATACCATGAACTTACTTGGTACGAATTGGATAACAGAATTTAAATTATGGGATCTACCGATGAATTCTTTCTGTTACAAGATTGAAAGTTTAAACTCAGAAGCCCCAAAATTAGTAAGGAAACTTAAGGAAACATTTCCTACTGTTTTTTCTCCAGGTTTGGGAACACGTACCAAGATGGAGGCAAAATTCCAGCTAAGAGAAAATGCTCAGGTGGTATTCAAAAAGAAAAGGAATGTGCTGTTTGCTTCAATTGAACAGATAGATAAAGAATTGGACAGATCAGAGAAAACCGATGTATTTAAAAAAATTGAATGGGTAACATCGACGATATATGCGAAAAAAAAAAAAAAAGCTCCAGAAAGTAAAGATGAAGCCGACACTGAGAAAAACTGGGGAGCGAGTTACCCACAGCCAAGGACATGCAGTATTATTAAATGATTTAAGTCAACTGAAGCCACCACAGAAAACGTTAAGAAGCACAAGATCAACAAAAGGAAAGCTAGAGGCTGAATAAATAGAACCACAAGGAGAACCTACAGAAACTGTGACTTCATCCTTAAGAATCTCAAAGCGGAAGGTTGTTTCTGGTAACACTATGGAGGTACCAAAAAATAAAAAAGTGGATTGGCAATATGATGTACTTGGTGAAAGGCAAAAAATTCACGTGCAGTAACCAGATCAGACGACATTTTTTCAGATGTGGTTGACAGCGGTCCCACGGAAGAAACGCTGATGGTGTTGATTTTCAATATGTTTGCTCTAACAACACCTGCAATGATTTTACCTAAGGTGCGCCGATCCAAGAGAAAAAGAAAGGCAACTGATCATTTAAAAGTGGATCCAAAACGTAGGAGATAGGTTAGAATGTTGCTACAAAAAACAAAAAAAAAAGTTTTTTTTGTTTTTTTTTTGTTTTTCTTCATATTTTCCTGTAAAAAATGAAAAATAAATAAATAAAAGTGTTTACTCCTACGGAGTAAAGTTTTGTGGGGGATGTTATAGTGGAACACACCTATTCTATAGTTAATAGACTCTCCCACCGATAATAAGTAGGAGTAGTAAGAGTAACGTGGGAGTCGCTCAGGTGGTCAGTCAGTCAGTCAGTCGATGCCGGACGACCATTAGTCGGATACTAAAGTATCAGCGACCACAACTAGATTACTCTGCGTCATACCTATTATATGAAGTTCCTAACGTTTTGTACATCGAACCTATTTTAGGACTGACTTAGTACAAATACAAGCCTCCATTGTGAAATCACTTCATAACAATCCCACTACAAACATTCAATGAATAAATAATCAACAATTAAAAGAACAAATATTTTAGCTTGATATTTTTATTATCAAATTGCAGTAAAATGCTGTTCATAAACTGGATTTTAAATAAATTTGTGTTTATTGTATAATTTTTAAGTTCAACACTAAAACTAGTTGCTGACATTGTTTACATAAATTCAGTTTAAAACATTTCAATAAGCTTCTTTTTTAAGGAACCAAAAAACGTTATCTTCATCATCAAATTTTATGATGTTTTCCCAATTGGTATTAATCAACTAATATTGGTAAAATTTTCAACATATATTTATATTGAGCCAAATATTGCACAAGTTTCAACTCCTAATATCTATTATTAAAAATATTGATAATAACTTATTTGGGGCTAATGGATTTTATTTTTTTTAATAATTTCCTTCCAAAGAAGCAATAAAACCACTAAGACAAGGGGTTACTGAGTGTAAAATAATATGAGAAAAAGAAAACGTTATTAAGGAGAGAAAACACTAAAAGAACAGGACTTAAGACAAAAGTTTACGACCGATATTGCATTTAAATGTTTGTAGACCAAAATTAACTGGAAAGCAAAAAGCCAACATAGACTTCCATAAGCAAGAAGTGCAAGAGAAGCTTTTAGCATAGAACTTAGTTATATTTAGCCATTTCAATTGTAAAATGCTGAAACCTTGCAGCCAATCTAGTACTGCATTTAAATTCATAAAGTTTAGGTTCCAAAGACGAAAGTTCATCAGAATGATTACCATGAATATATATATATATAGAAAAAGGTACAGTTAAGCTACATTATGATGGTGGACAAGTGACTGAAACGAAGTTAGCAACAGATTGTAGGTCATTTTTTAGATCAGTTGCTACTGACTTTATCAAATCGATCAGACTTACTATTGAGAGAAGAGTAAATAGTTGTATCATCCGCATAGATACCAAGTTGAGAACTGATAACATTGGGATATCCCATTGATGAAAATTAGGAACAACACGGGTCCAATGATAGAGAGCTCTGAGGGATGCTTGCATTAATGTAAAAAGATCTAGAAGAAAGGCTGTCCAAGACAACCTTCTTTTCACAATTTCATAAGAAAGATTGAATTTGTTCAAAAATTTATCCAGAAATATCATAACATTTCAACTAG